GGAGGAACAAAAGGTTATCCATTGGTGCTTATGGATCTCCACAGATTGATTGTGAGCTCGGCTCTTCACTTCTCTCCAGTGATCTAGAGTTAAACTCAGGGGGGTGGTTAGGTGTTGTCCCATTTTGGGGTATTCTAAAATCACAATGAAACAGACAAACAACAGAAACAACAAAAATAGACAGCCGGCGACAAGGTACCGCTTAGTGCGACTCCGGGGAAGAACTGAAAAAACAAAATCAGATGGCGAGGTTGTCACTTCGCTCAGGTTCACGTATCCTTCAGATACATGCTGAGCCCCAAAATATCATGCTCCCCAGACCATGGGTCGCGACCAACACAAATACACAGCAACACAGAAACACTGACACTGACTCAGGTGTGCAGCTCGGAATAACAGATGGCAAGGAAGTTCCTTGTCCAGACGAGATCCACAGAAATCTTACAGATGAACAAAAAGTTCTACAGATGTGGGTCTCACAGTCCTGGAGCGTCCCCCAGGCTGGCAGGCAAAGCTTAAAGACTCGTCAGTCTTGCTTTTGCACTGCCCAGAAATACAGACGGGATCCCCAGATTCTACATATGCTGCACTATCAACAACACCAGACAATACAACACAGAGGCTGGCCAACTCACCTCCCCGCAAGGCTTGAATTGTCCTGTGGCTCCCTCTGACCGACAAATCTCGGTGGGACCTCCAAATGTAAGAGAGAAAAACCACAGAGGACAAGCCAGCCTTCGGGTTGCAACAGCAAGAGGTTTATTTAGTACACAGGTACCTGTGGGCACAAAGTCTCCTCGGGGGACTTGCGCGCCTCAGGTCGGGTTTGTGGAGCTTTTATAGGGCAGAAGCGGGGTACAGAAGCAGAAACGCGGTTATTGGTTCGTTTAAACTATTACAAAATGCTACAGGGAGAGCGGGGAGCTTACTTATCACTAAGCCAGATGTCCCAACCATAAAACTTATTTATCAGTGAGTTGGAGATGTCCCGGCCATAAAACTTACTTATCAGTAAGCCAGATGTCTCAGCCATAAAACTTACTTATCAGTGAGCCAGATGTCTCAGCCATAAAACTTACTTATCAGTGAGCCAGATGTCTCAGCCATAAAACTTACTTATCAGTGAGTTGGAATTCCTGACCGGTACGCGACCTGCCTGAGAGACTTCATGTAGTATACATGTTAAGTTTTTTCTTTCTTTTCTTTCTTAGATCCCAAGAGATGATCCCAAGACATTTAAACCTTGGTCTATACCTATAGCATAGCTGCTTCCATTTCCTTAAAGGTAAGAGGGAAAAAAGGTTTTCAAACTATGTTCCATGGAACCCTTGATTTACACATGTTCGTTAAAATGAATAGATCTTATCCAACATTTAAAAAAAAATTTGCAGCTTATTTATTTTTTCATTTATTTATTTATTTGAGAGAGAGAAGGAATTTGAATGGAGGTCAAAGGACACCTTGTAAAAATCAGTTCTCTCCTTCCACTATGTGGGTCCCAGGGATCAAACTCAGGTTGTCAGGCTTGGCAAGCACCTTTACCCACCAAGCTGTCCCTTCATCCCTTATCCAGTATTTTTTAGTTGCGGCACTAAGCATGGCTTTGGAAAATAATGATGGAAGTCAGAACAGTATCTCTAACAATGCAGTTTTTTTCTTTCTTTCTTTTTTTTCGGTCTTTTTGAGACAGGGTCTCCCTGTAGCCCCAGCTGGCCTGGAACTCATTATGGAGACCAGGCGGGCCTCGAACTCACAGAGATCCACCAGCCTCTGCCTCCCAAGTGCTGGGACTACAGGTGTGTGCCACCACTCCCAGCTTGCAGTTTTTCTTTTTTATATTAAAGGAAAATGAAAATGAGAATGTAATAGATTAAGACATTCTAAACATCCTATTCTGATTTGTATGAGAATTACTTGCAACTTGAATCCAGAAAACAAAATGAAATCTATTGATTTCCACATTTATGATTAACATGCTATCTGGAAGAATTGAGTTCAACTGCTTCAGTTTTGCACTGCTGCCTGATACAAACACAGCACAAAGGCTTTGGAGCGTGGTCCCAAAGACACCCTGATAAGAAATCTATTGTCTCTGTTAGAAAATTAAATTCCTGGAGGTGAGGAAGATGGCTCAGTGGGTGAGGTGCTTGCTATATGAGCATAAGGACCTGAGTTTGGCTCCGAAGCACCCATGTAAAAGCAGCAGAGGAGTAACCCCAGCAGTGGGGGCTCAGGGGCTGAAACGGCAAGCTCCAGATTC